ATTCACGTCGGAGGGAGCTGAGTCAGCACTGCTCTGGCTGCATCTCAGACGCCAACAGTGACGACGGCTGCCATGAAATGTAATAATGTAGCTGGGTTGAAAGAAAGGAAAGGATCTCTTGTTATATGGAGGGTTACTTGTTAATATTTGTGTTTTGAATGTTATCTCGGCGGCGCAGTTTTCCTTTTACAACATGGCCACTTGGGTGTATCCGCCCATCCCTCCCAGCCAGCTCAAGCGGGAGGAAGAGCAATGCTTGGTACCCGACTAATCCTCCATCCTAGCGAAACGCGGCCGTTCAACTGATCTAATCTTCATTTTAGTCCCGTGAACTTGAGTGGCTGCTGAAATCACTCCAGGAATCGTTGGCTGCTATGCGAGAAGGCCTCCAAGAGTGCGTTGCCCTCCTTGCTCCCACCGAGCCAGGTTCAACATTGGTCCTCTCCTCGTTACGGTCCGAGAGTGTTAAAGGCTACATCACGAGGGTTGGACCGAACATTGTAAAGGGGGTGAGTTGTATGGCGTTCCTTTGGTCGTTTACTCCCGGCGTGCATGATAGAGCAGGCTCCAAGACGGGACTAATAAGCGTCTCGTTTACCACTCATAGGACATTCACCTTCGGTTAAACTCTCTTCCTCCTCCACGTGGCTCCAGCTCTACCAGGCTGTGTCTTTCTACTACTCATACTGCTCCAGAATTGGTTTTGAACCAGGTTGCTTTGGCACGCCGGCACATAAACGACAGTCTCGATGCTGTGGATATCAGTACCTTCACAGGGGACCCAATGAATGCTAGCTTCATATCAGGTCAACTACGGTTACTACATGGTTATATTGCAGAAGCGCGACATGCCTTGAAAGGCGATCGCGAAGACATGAAAAAGCCGTGGACTGAGGGGAGCGCGGATGTGAATGTATACATGCCCGCCTACAACTGCGCTGCCCAAGCTGACTTACTCTACAGGCATTCGACCCACCTCTCCCCAATCACCTCTCATTTTATCTCACAGTCTCCGAGGCGGCATTAGTGTTGTATCTTCGTACTCTTGAGCCACACGGCACGTCCGAGGTGCCAACCACATATTTTGCTCCGGAGATTGGGCTTAGCGGCTTTTCTCTGCGAGACAGGTTATTTGGAGCCAAACAGCAGAACCACGATGAGTCTGGTGACGTATTTCATTGGAATGGCGAAGAGGTCAAGGTGAGAGAGAAGGTAAGGGTGGAGACCCAGGATCCGAGTTTGATGGCCGCCATGGCCAAGCTCACCGCGCTGGAACATGAAGCAGCGAAACTGAGAAAGGCACTAGCCATTGTAATGGGCGATGAGGAGAGCGACAGTGAGTGAGTGAGCAGAACAGTAGCAAATAAAGCACGATGTCTGGAGTACTTGTTGTATACTCCGTACGGAGTAGCGAATCGTCTTCTCGTTGAGGATGACTAATCGGCTGCATACTCACGTGATGTTAACTCTGTCACGTGGATTTAAGTTAAGGTTGCGGTTAGCGGGAAAGTCTAATCGGGATAACTTTTGGCTTGGCATCGAGTTCGCCTTCGGAGTGAAAACGCTGTCTCGCGCATCCTCAGCTTTTATCTTTGTGAAGTTCGCAGCGTTCGACGAAGGATACCGCCGCAAAAACTATGCTATCTAGCGGATCAACTGCGAATATTTGCTCAGCTTGTTCTCACAATGGTTTGCGCCTCTTCACCGGTCGGATACGCTCCAGCCTCAACCCGTCTCTCTTGACCCTGAACTCGAGTCTCATAACACCAGGAGCAATCCGTTCACATAGCAGCTTTTCCAGGTTATCGCCGTCGACGGCCCTCCGAAACAGACATTCTCGCTCGCGATTATATTCCACGTCGTTATCGAACTCCGCAGCCTCAAACAAAGCCGCTATCTTCGCTTTACTCGACCGGATACACGCGCATCATTTTGACCTCTTGGATCATGCGGACGAGCTGGGACTTTTGGAGGAGTTTCCCAAGCTCACCCATATCTTTGAGCTCCGCTTGACGGACGAATTTGTCGACGCATTAGGCCATCTGAACCAGGAGACTCTGACCGAGAGGGTTAGACTGGCAAGACAGCAGTTCGGAGATTCGTTACCGGAAGGAGAGTTAAACGAGGAAGAGACTGTTCTGTATACACGGCTATATGGGGCGCCGGCGGTCTTGCCGGAGACGCAACCGGATACTCAAGCGCGGGAGGATGAAGTAAACGCGCTTTTCCGTGACGATGGGGAGGGTGGCCTGGTCGAGGTCGAGTTTGCACCACCGATTGATACTGTGGTAGAAGGATCGTCGACTGTTGATTTGGATTCTAGCTTGGAGGGCTTAGAAAGACGGACACGTGCCGTTGCGGAACAATTGGACGCGGAAATGGTCTCCGACACTTTCGAAGATTACGACGCTCCCGGGGACGGTCATCCGCGCACACACCCAACAACTCTTGGTGGAAAATTTGCAACGTCCCCTTCTACAGTAGCGGTTCCAATGGATGTGCTCCAGAAGCCTTTCAATGAGTTCCTCTCCGATACCAAAGGGAAACATATGAGAGAGGCCGCGTATAAACTATTCGACAGGTCTCTATCCAAGTCTACTACAACGGCCTCATTAAGCACCCCTGAAGAGCCTATACCTTTGTCTGCGAGTCAGCCCGGCATGTCGGATATGGAAGCCAATCTCTTTCTTACGGTTCTGTATCCAGGTATGTACGCTACGTCGTTAAGTATCTTGACAGAAGTCCGAAAGAGGCTGGGTACCCAATGGTTGAGGGACCTGATTAATCAAGAAGGAGGCCCAAAAGTCCTTGATGCTGGAGGCGCAGGAGCTGGCATCCTGGCATGGAGAGAAGCGCTCAAGGCAGAATGGTCGTTGATATACCCTGATCAACCTCCGGAATTTCAATTTTCTCAAGGTAAATCCACGGTTTTGGTTGGCTCTGATGCCCTACGACTACGCACTAGCATGCTTCTTGACAATACAACATTTATCCCTCGATTACCAAACTACCTTCATTCGCCTCCACAACGCAAGCATTTTGACGTGATTATTGCGTCGCATGCTCTGATGCGTTTCTCAGAAGATTACATGCGCAAGGAATATGTTCAGAACCTCTGGTCCATGCTGAATCCCAATGGCGGTGTTCTCATTCTGGTAGAAAAGGGCATTCGACGAGGTTTCGATGTCATTGGAGGTGCTCGAGAAATGATCCTCGAGAAATTAATTGCTTCTCCGGGATCGACGAGTTATGAAAAGATCCTGGGGTCTTCGGGTGAAGAGACAATTGTGCAAAAGGAGCCAGGGATGATCGTTGCGCCGTGTACAAACCATTCGAAATGTCCGATGTATGTCAACGCAGGGAAAAAGGTCGCAAAACGGGACTTCTGCCGTTTCCCCCAACGCTATGCACACCCGCCCTTCCTCCGGACAATTGCGGGATCTGCTGGCAAAAATCATGAAGACGTGGAGTTTAGTTATTTGGCTGTCCAGCGAGGGGTTGACCTTTCGCGAAACCCAGAGTATAATCCAAGGCCAGAATGCAACAAACGCAGCTTTCTCTGGCTATGAATCTTTCCTGGATAGTGCCGGCAATCATGGGAATTCCAAGGAAATGGAGAAATCGATAACCCCACAAGTCAACCACCTTTCTCTTCCTCGAATCCTCTTTCCACCTATCAAACGGAAAGGACATGTAGTGATGGACATGTGCACGCCCGCGGGAAAGATTGAGCGCTGGACCGTTTCTCGCTCGTTCAGCAAACAAGGATACCACGACGCACGCAAGTCTAAATGGGGTGATCTCTGGAGTCTAGGTGCAAAGACACGAATTTCGCGAAATTTGAGGCTGGGCGTCGAGAAGGACTCGACTTCAGGGGATGAATTGACCGCGCGAAAACAAAAGGTTAAAGAAAAGGATCAAGATCCTTTTAGAACCACAGTTTGGGGCCCAAATCCACTGAGCGAGGAGGGAATTGAAATTCCCGAGTACGAAAAAACGATGCATAAATTCAAGGCCGAGGCAGAGGGAAGGGGCAAAAGACCGAGAAAGAAGGCCAACAAGGCAGATCTCAATGAGAAAGAGATAGGAGACGAGAATGTTTTGGGAGCACGACCCGACTCAATTATGCCTAACTGGGTGAAAAAGATGCAGAAGAAGCTACTCCGGCAACGGTTGGAGAAGCGTGGAAGCTCTGACATATCATGATGTGTCCAACTCCTCAGAGGCTCAGCTAATGGAATCGTGGAAGAGAGCCAAATCCTTATCCCAAACCTCATGGCCCCCATGGGGGCCCCTACTTGTGTTATATGACGCTTGATAATCGGGACGGACGGTGTAGGATCATGGCGAATGGGGTTTTTTTAAATGGGATGTATCAATCTCGAATCAATTTTTGTATCTGCTACATGTCCTCACTCTTAATACAAGTCCTGAGATATCTCTCTGACCAGTGAACAGCACGAACATCTCACTATACCTACTGCCTGCTCCTAAGTTGTTCTTTCACGCACATCTTGATCGACATATATCAGTTGCATCATATGGCTCCCCATCATGTGAGTCTCAATGTGTCCCATATAATCCTCATAGCTTGTTCCTAGAGGAGTTGAGAATGAACAATGTTCCATGTTCATAGGAGGTTGTTTGCCCTCATACTTTGCAGCCCAATATCTCTCAAATCCTCTGTAAATGAGGATTTGACACTTAGAGTTGAATTCAGAATCTAGGTGGTCTTTTATTTCATGAGAATTCTGAATTCAAATTCTGCATCGAGGACTCATTTCAACCTCATATTGCTTCTAGCTTGTGCCCTACGCTCTCCGGTTAGCTATTCTGGTATTTAAACACAGAAGCATATGAGCGCTTCTTACTTCTCTCTCAACTACCTTATATTTTTACTTATATCTTGCTTGCTATACCCTCATTTCCTCTTCTCTTTTTTCCCTCTTCGTCTCTCTGCTGTTCTCAGCAGAAGCTCAGTTCAATTTTATCATTCAATCCCAAACTGGGCAACGCTCGCTACTCCATTATATCCATTCCCGTTGCTTGCATATATCCTACCCCGTCCGTTTGTTATGTCTATCGCTTTTCCAGAGAAATATGCCTTGACATTTTACGCAGTCGCATTGATCATCAAACCGGGGCCTCTCTGTGTTTAACTCTCAGCAATTCAAGGGTTACTAGCCTTGGTTTTTTTTACACCACGACCGCCCGTTCCGGTGGGTGCATTTTGCGTTGGAACTGGCTATTACCTTGTGCCGTTTGCGAGGCGTTTAGCGGAAGGTTGCGCTGACAGTGACCATATTGTATAGGTCCCGCTGACTGCCGCAGTCCAACGGGCCATTGATCTCCACGGCCTGATCTACTTTTCAAGTAGATTGGGGTGCGCCACACGAACAGACTGAGATGAGCTAATCCAGCTCATCTCCGACGTCAAATGACCTGCTCACGAGAAGCGGGTTTAGAGGGCTAGAGTAGCTACACTTGCTAATGTTGCAAAACAGCAAGCAGCGCAGGTTACTGCCCCTGTCATCAATGTAGATGTCGATCGAAGAAAAGTTGCCAGTGAGCACACCGTTGATATTGCTGACCTTATTGCTGATTTGAGACCGAGATAATTGGGAAAACTGACCCGTGCTATCAGAATGGGCTGTTTCTCAAGTTGCCTCCCACTACAAGACTGCCCGGATAAATCGCTCGGTCAGCAAATCCAAAACTCGTCGTTGTTTTGAAGTAATTATGTCTGACGAATACCGGGTTTGGGACAAGGCTAATGACCTTGCCAAATCCTGGGGAAGAGCGTGGCACTATCAAAGCAAATCATAGGCTCTATGCTATCCTTTCTAGGATTGCAGGTATCTGCTTGTGCTATGAGACGACAGCCGGGAACACAATATGTTCAAATTACAAAACGAGATTATACTAACCAGAGCGAGCAAGTAAAATTTAGAATGTAGTTAAATTGGGACCAACTCAAAATGCAATCGCCGTATCCAGCACTTGCTGTGAATGCTCTTGTTTATTAGCTTGCTCTGTGCTGCGTTGAGCATTCGTGATTATTACTCTTTTCTGAGAATAGATTCCCCCAGAGTTAGCCTCGAAATCTAGTGTCTTCTGTCCTTAATTTGAGGCATTATCCCAGTTCTTTCAATACCGAGCAATTCAGTGGCAGCAAATATACCACCTAATGTTCACCGTTCCCTTATGTGTCTGATTGACACTTAATCCGGGACGCGAATCTAGTAGAACGCACGCAATTTATCCGCCTATTCACTGCGCTGCCATACTCTTCCTCAACTGCCTTTCTCTCTGCCTCGACTGCAACTCCAACCGCTCCACTGCGTATTTTAACCGCTCTTTCTTTTGTACCAGTTTCCGAAGTTCAGCTGCTCGGGCACTACTACCAGTGCTGCTGGCACCAATTGTTCGATTCGCGAGATCACCACTGCGCGAAGATGGTCTTGAATCACGCGAAAGCCTTCCCTCCTGTAGTTCACATTTAGCTTTGAGAGACTCTTCGCGTCGCGCGAGCTTGTCGATATGGTTCTCGGCAAGGTTGAGGAGATGTGCGATACTGGGTGTTATTTCGTCAAGTATGGCCTTTTGAGCTTCATGGAGAGTTGGTTCGGGGAGTAGTTCGAAATGCTGGAAAATGGATTGTTAGTTCAAAAGTGCTCAGACACCGGGAGTGCTTGAATCTATATCCGTTATTAGGAGTTGGCTAAGCTGACTCTTGTCGATTGGAGGACTTTGCACAGGCGAGGAAAGTCGTGTACGCCACTGTCCAGTACGTCAATAGACGATTCGAGCAGTTGCAGCGATGACTGCAAAGAAGATACGGAGGAGGATAATGAAGCTGCCATTTTATGATCGCGGGTGTCTCTCATCTATGTTGATTTTTCGGAAGCTGAGGTCCGCCCATAAAGCCGTCACGTGATGCCTGCGAAAAGAGCCCGACATCACACCCAAATTGGTACCGACGACAACGCAAGTAACAACCTCCCTTCGCTCTCGCAGACGGACCCAATTTCATACCGGTTCTAGTTACGTTTCGAAACAATCAAGATGCGTCTTGCTCTCAAGAAATATTCGGCGCCCAGTAAGTCTCAATTGCCAGAGTTGGTGAACATTGCGCTAATCATGATCGATACGGATAGTCCGCCCGATGGCTCCTTTCTTCGTTGCCTGTACGTTCTATTCTCCCGTTATGATTCCGGATTCCAGGATGCTACTTCGAACGGATTGAGCTTGGTCAATATCATGGTGGAGGATCAATTGGATTACTGACCTCTGGACGGCAGCCTTGGTCATCGCATACGGCATCAATTCCCTCCAGAACGCTATGATGAACTGTGAGCGCTCTCTTTCCTCTCTATTTTTCTCAGTGCGACTTTTGTTGGGCTTTATTTTCCACATTCTCAATTTCTCAATTCGGCTCCCAATATTAATCGTCGTTTCCGACATCCCCGCTTTCCTTCCGCTTATAAACTGACAATGATCGCAGCCGAGGAATTCAGAAATGACCCACGAAACCCAAACAGACAAGTGAAGGCTGCTGAGAAGCACTAGGCGCAGATACCGCGACGGAAGAAGGCATGTCTACGACTCATGTATAAACTGCGCCGTTGACGAGGGTGAGGGGGAAATTTTGATCGGAGACTCTTTGTACATTGATTATAGACCGTTTCTATTGAAAAACGTTACTCAAACGGCTGCATTTGACGAACTGTGCTTTTCGCGAAAAGATTGAGCCTTCGTGACTTGAACACTGGGGCCAGAGTCTAGGTGGGGAAGGCGTCGTATAGCTGATTATGGTTACAACCGTAGACACATTCTTTTCGGATCACTCACGAAATGAAATAACCACTGGCCAAGGCCCTTCCTCCATAACCTATATCTGTCGGGCTGCATTATAAGAGTATCTCCGGCAACCTTTCTATACACCATCCGGTCAAGTTATCGAACTGCCAAGCCCGTGCTTATATAAGCCATTCCGCCCTGTATGCAATGGCCGATATCAAAAGTTGAATCTCTGAACACAGCAAGCAAGGAACTCTGAATCGATAAGAAAACTTGGCCCACCATGTCGCAATTCCGGGCGAAGCGGTTGGATATCTGCGGCTACATTAATGCTAAGGTGATCCGTGATCACACGAAGCGGAAGGTCTTTATGGAGTATGAGCCGGAAAGGTCTGTCGCAACCAAGTCGAGGATGCAGTTTGTTTGATGAAGCGTGCCAAACAAGATCACTGTCGCTAGAGCTGTCTGCTAACCAGTCCAAATCAATCTAGGCAAGCTCTCCGTTACCTCATGCGCAACACTTCCCTTCCGATGCGCGTCCGCGCCCAAGCGCAACTTCAGCTTTCTCAGATGCATTCCTACACGAGATCTACGGTAATCAAGAACCGATGCACTGCCGGTGGTATAGCTCGCGGAGTGTTTAGAGATTTTAAAATGGCTAGAGTACGTACCGCGATTCACACGACGTAATCCGTTTAAGCGATCGAGAAGTTTTATATGGATTGAACAACTTTTATCTTTTCAGGTTGGGCTGGTAACTAATCATGTTTCTTCTACAGTTTCAATTCCGAGAACACGCTTTAGCAGGAGATCTCCCCGGCGTTCAAAAGGCCAGTTGGTGATTTACACACGGCTTGGGGTCTTTTCACATGTAGCAATAAAGCGGTTTCGTCCGGCGATCCTACGACGGATTTCGGCGTTTTTGGAATAATATAAAGGATAAGGGTGTAAATTATGTATGGGGCATTTGAAGAAACGAACGTTGAGATCTCTTTTTATCACCCGCTATGGGGGTGAAGTTTTTGTGTGCCTCGCTCTCAGCCCTCATACGCCGCTATGGTCTCCGCTCAGAATAGCAATACGTTATTTGCCTTCAATCAAACGACCATCTGTTTGCTGCGTTCAAGTAGAAGGAGTTGTCTGAGCTGGAGGTATTTCAAACCAAGTAAAATAGACTAGCTGTCTATACAGCGTAGAGCACGTCGTAAATGGGGAAAATAAAAATCGAAAATGGCTCCTCTCAGATCCTACATAGAACGAGCCCGCTTGTGCGGCGCGGACCGTGAGATCATGCGTTGGGTTCTTGGGAGGGATTGGGCAAGTTTCGCATTCGAAGATCTGGTCTGAGGCTGCCGATTGCCAGCCTGAAATGAAGTGAAACAAAATCGACTCATCGATGCATCCAACCAGCTATATCTTCAGCATCTCGCTGCTTTGCATCAAAGATATTTGGATAAAGGAGTTGCAATTTTGAATATGTAGAAGTGAGAAAATATTCAGCTTGCTCCTATCTGTCATTCGTTCAGCCACTGCTTCAAGCGTTGGGTGTTACTATGCCCTGGCGATTGCGTCCATCCAGACGACAATTAACTAGTAGCTGTCTAGTTGAGCAAGTTCAAAGGGTGACTGCAGGCTTGCCCTTCACCCTTTTGATTGTTCTTTTCACTTCTTTCCTTTGTTTTGAACTAGAAGCAGTTCAATATTTCCCCCATGGTGAACCTGAACCTGAACCTCAACTTACATCCCCTCTTTTCTCCAATATCCCTTTGGGCTTCGACCGTTGATTCTCGATTGCTCCGGCCGTTCCTTGGAACTGTGCACAGCGGATTCAAACGTGGAATCATGTTCGTTTTTCGAAAGGAGTCGCTGCCCAGCGATCCCGTCTTCCCGAGTGATTTGAAGAAGCTTGGGTGCGTTGCTATCAACCTTGTCCTATGCCCCTTCATGGAAAAACATTTGATGACACTGATGCTGACGGAGATCCCTATGTACAGATATTTCATTAATGAAAATGATCAGATCCGGATGATTAGCCACCCGTTGGAGAAGTTTCTCTATAAAATCAACGCGAATGACCGCTATAATGAGATGCAGAAGGAAGCTATGAATAGTGAGCTATGCATAACACTTGTTCGAATTCCCTCTTGACATCTAATTGATGGATCTGGTAAACAGACTGCATTCGTGATATTGTCCTCTCAAGACTGCACAATTTGGGCTTGCAAACGCTGCGCCTCCCGATTGGCGCGTCTCCCAAGTCGCAGCATGTTCCAATCCTAGTTTCTTCGTCTTTGGGGAGTCAATCACGCGTTATCGTCGTATTTGGTGAACCAGCTCAGGACCTAGGAATCTGGGCCTACCGCGCAATGGAACAGGGTCTCAATTTCGGGTCTGCAGTCAATTTCGCTAAAGCTGTCGTTGGAGATTCAAAAGAAAGCAAGGATGCCAATAATAGCAAGACAACGCGGAAATCAGGACTTGTTCTGGCCAACCCGGGGCAGCTGGTCTGGTACTCTCATGGAGAACGTGCAGTTTCTCTCCCAACTTGGCACGCAATTCCACGACGATACGCCGTTGATCCGCCCATGAAAATGAGCTATCGCAATAAGATCCCGGGGAACGAAAATTGGCAAGACCACATCACATATGTGTTTGAGGAAGTCCTCGCAAAATCGCTCTCCGAAACTGCCAAAATCGACATTATTGGTCTCGCAGAGGGCGGCTTAGGGGCTATCAGATATCTAGCCGAACACTGTAGATATACCCACCTTCAAACTTCATATTATATTGTCGGTTTACGGTGCTAACTATTTTCTCTCAGGGCAAACTTGGCAATCACGCGTCTCAGCAATCTGCCTCTCTAATCCCCTTCATGATACCAATCACCTCCACCCACCTGAGTTCGCTAGATTCATCGCCACACGTACCCGAGCCTACATGGTCTCTGACAAACCACTTCATCATAGTGTGCCGGGCAGGTACAAGTTTGGATGTAACTGCTACTCGTCAGGGGAATTGATGCACGTTGAATGCGTCATGCCAAATGCATGGGAGGGCATGGTGGCATGGTTAGATAAGATGCATGAAAACCCGAGGCTCGAGGAGATCGAGATAGTCTTGAATGAGGAAATGGAAGATGGGGCAGCTAAGATGGCGTGGGAGGAGGGGGATGACGCTTGACGGTAATGGTGAAGAGAACTGAACGGGCCCTTTTGATTTCATGAATTATTTCTCGGTTTGCTTTTTGGGATTGCTTCCAAATTCCGGATTTATGCAAGTTTGAGGGAACTGGCGAATGGTTTGAGGGGATGTGGTCTTAGCGAGCTGTCAGCAAAGCGCGGCGAATTGATAAAGGTGCCTATTTTTTTAATAATAGCAGCGACAATGAATATTTCATGTTTATCAATGTCAGTGGTTCAACTTATGCTCTATTACTTCGACCAGAGCATGACTTCTATGTAAAAAAGTCAAAGGTATATCTACAGATTAACTATACGACAACGGTGCTATTAAAGGTCTAGATGCAGCAGAAAATATATTCACCCAAAAAAGTAAAGTCTGCGAGCTTCTCCGGCTGTTTTCCCACTCACTCGAGAGAAACGTCCACTAGTCACTCACTTTCCCCTCGACTGCCGCCATCCCACATCCCCAGCTACATCCCCTCCTTACAAACGGCAAAGGCCACAGCCGTTGCCCATTCACCCTCCCGATCTTCGACCCGTTCTCATACGGTGAACAATCCCACCACTCCACCCACTCAACTCGAGGTATCACATACGTCCGTCCACAAACAGAACACGCTCGATCACCCGTTCGTTTGACGAGCCTGGCAAAATCCAAGAGCCGCGCGACAAACGACGGACAATCCAAGCCCTGGTCGTCCGTTCCGTCGTCGGCTGTGTGGTCGAGGAGATGGGACATCTGCGGAGAGCGCAAACAGGCTTGCAGGGAGAGCTCGCGGAGGGATTGCGCAAAAGTGCGGGTGAGTGGGCGGTCGCTGTGTGGGAGCGGGCGGCCTTCCTGGTCAAAGTACGTGATTCGCCCTGTTGCGATGTGGAGAGGGAGCCAGGCTTGGGGATTATCGTCACCGGCGTCGTGGCTTTGTTTTAGCCGCTCGGAGATGGGAGTGGTTCCTTCTTCGACATCCCAGTGCCACTGAGCGATTTCGGTTTCGTTTAGTGAGACGAAGGGGTTTGGGTGGACGGTTAGGCGCTTCAAGTCGCCTGTTTGCATAAGCCCAAGTATCTCCCATGGAAGATATGTTAGCCTGTTGACGGCTAGGTTCAAATCTTGCAGCTTGATGAGCTTTCGGATTGCACAGGGAACCTCGCTGAGTTCATTCTGGCGCAGGCTAAGTACCTTCAGCTCTTCAAGATCGAATATTTCCTTCGGGAGGAAAGTAAGACGGTTCTGCGGAAGATAAAGTCGAAGGAACGGCTCCAGCGGCCCGTAAACGTCCTCAGAGAGCGGAGGCTTTTCCAAAGTGGGTTCTTTCGTTAGTTGGATGAGCGGTTGCAAGATGCCAGGAGGGATCGTTTCCAGATTGAAGTATCTATCATGAGTAGTTAAGCTGGAACGGTTTTGAAACCAACACAAGGGCATAGTCAGCTTACGAGAGATCCACGTTATCATTCCCTTCTTCCAGGCATCGATATACCGCTGATCTGGCGTGTCTCTGAGCTTCGGTTTCCATCGCGCGGTCCGCCTTCACGGGTTTTCTCATAACCCCTTCACTGTGCAATCCAATCGACGCCTGCGGAAGCCCCCAGATAGCCGGACTCTCAAAGCTCTTCTCTTCAGATGCCCTGGAACCTCCAACCATTTCAGAGTCGTCCGCCGCATCCACGACATCCGAACTTAGCAGACCGGAAGAATCGTCACCGCTCATCATCCAGACGCCACTGTCCAGATCCCTCTTCTTCTTGAACTCTGTCCTTGTCCTCTTCTTCTTAATGGGCAGTTTCTCTCCCCACCATGTCCCGCGATACCGTCGCTTCCTCACCGTCTTATTTTCCCCTCCATCGTGCTCCGCTCCCCGACGCGCCCCAGATGACGACTTTGGCGTGTAATCCTCCAGCCCCGGCTGAAAATCATCACTCGAGAACAGCGGGGGATCGCTCGATGGCGGCCCGGAAAGCGCATCCAGGTTCAAACCCACTGGACGCTGTGCGAACGGGAGGGACGCATTTGGCACGCTGACTCGTGCAAGCGAAGCAACGGTCCGCTGCGAGCGAGCGACGGGAGGCGACGGGAGGTCAGGATCCATTAATGTTATACTCTTAGGCAACAAAGAGGCCTCACGTCCCTTGTTTATCCTTCTCCTCCCAACACCTCGATAGTAGCGGGAATTATTGTTTTCGCTGGACTCGTGTTTGTAACTCTCTTGCTGCGCGATGACGCGACACCGACCAATCAGCTTTGAGTTGGTTCTTGGCGTGAGCCGCGGGGTCACATGACTATTGTCTCAGCTTAGTAAGCGTCAACGTCGTACGTAATCACCAGCTTTGCGTATCCCAAATGTCTTTTAACCCTCATTGCCAGTACAATTGCAAGGGAAAGCCACTGACCAGAAAGGCGACCCGTGCTTTAAGAGCCCGCCTAGGACTTTATCAACTCGGTTGATACTAGAGGCAATGTGATGACTTTCATTGTCTTTTGCTGTCCACCCGATGGCTTCGGAATCAAATGGAGGTGCTGCTGTGTTTTATTCGGGATGTTGGCTGACCACCATGAACCTCCCTTGTTGCTTGTCTACAGTCTTCCTGTCGTTTTAAATGCATGACATAAAGGGAAAGAAACGTCGGTATGTTTTAACCAAGAAAAAGAATATTGTTTTCATCCTCAAGAAATTAAACAGTTGATAACCCAGATGCGCTATCGAAAGAAGGAAAGTTAACCCTGTGCCATTCAACAACCAGCTCGGTCAACAAGAGATAATTTAGCCACCAGGCATTCTTCGGGGTTGAAACGCATCAACGCTTCAAACCTATTGTCTGTGAAGAAGCAATTCCGAATTCCTCCATTGATCTAGCCAGTGTCGAACCAGTCGTGAGACACGCCATAATATCCCCAAGGAAGAAAAAAAAAAGGCTCGTCAAAAATCTTATAAACATTCACAACATCAATCTTATCTTCAGAAAAAAGTCGTCTCCGGGGCCAGAAGGAATATGTTGTTGAAAAGGTGTCAAAAGATCATAAAAAAGTAAGGTTAATAAGAACGGGGCCCAGGAGACTGCGAAAGTTGAAAAGTGATCTATACGGGGTATCGCATGCGAAAGAAAGGTCTCAGCCCGAGCCGAGAGCGGGAACCCGATTTTGGATGTCGATATGGAGCGACCGGCGGTGAGAATATACATTCGATCCAAGGCTAGAGTGATAACCGGTACTCCTGCTAGAAAATCGCCGTTTTCCCAACACTCACAAGTCGAGACTACCAAACCCATGCGCTACTAGCATTTGTTCACTTTATAGCAGAGCGCCTAGGAGGGCGGCGAACGTGCCGGCCATAGCCATCGCCGGCAGACCATTCGGTAAAGTGGCGGCCGCTGCGTTGCCCGTTGCCTCAGGGGGCGCACTGGTGCTGACTGCGGCGCTTGACTGAGCGGATCCATCGGTAGCCGTGGCACTGGGCGTGGTGTTGATGATGGTTGAGGCTTCGGTCGCAGACGAGCCGACGGAACGGATAATCGTCATTGTCAGGGTTTGAGTGGTGGTCTTTGTCGACGTGACGGTTTCCTCCGCGAGAACCATTTGCGAACCGACCAAGAAGAAAAGGGCGGTGAGGAGGCTAACGAGGAAGCGCATGTTGGGCAGATTTGGACGGACAACGAGGTTTGGATGTTTGAAATTCTGGACAAGGGCGGATGGGGCGACAGAAGAATAAAAACGAAATCCGGGTAGAGATCGATGCGCTCACGTCGAACGGTTCAGCTAGCAACTGCTGTGACAAACAAGCACGGAGTTGGTGTCGCGACTTGAAACAACGCGGCGGAGGCTTAGAAGAGACCGACTGGGCGGCCTGGTGTTTGATGCGCAAAAGGAGAGTGGGCTGAGACGCAAAGGAGTGAGCGTAACTCAGAACAAGAGAGTGTTTGACTTGGGAAGGAAAGTGTCGAGAATGAGCGCTGCTCGATGGACGATTTAAGGGAGACGGGAGTCTGGCGGCGACGGGGGAAAAGTCAGCAACCGGAAATGAGGCTTGAGGGCACAGCGCCCGCTTGGGAAAGGTCGTATTGTGGCCCAGCCCCGAAGCAGCCTAGTCGCTGGTTTGTGACCGCGTCTTTACGCCCCGCTAATTGCCCGGAATAGTTTAGCGCCAGGTACGCATTGCAGCATTGGTACGAGAAGCGTCGGTTTTTCCCGCCGGCTTGGGCTCTGATTCGCCTGCACTGGTTAAATTACCACCATTCCCAATTCGAGGCTCTGGTCGATGTGGCCGCCCATCAGCACATCATCACACTTTCTGCTGCCCCAGAACGAATCGTTTCTTCATCTCTTGCAGAAGCGCCTGTCGATCGCTGGAGCCAGCAAAGGCATCTTGCGTGCATCACGCTAAGATCGAACGCCTCGATTCGTGAGACTCTCCTCCATCCCTCACGATCTCTCCCATCTCATCTCCCGCACCCCTGTGCTCCCAAACTTTGGCGTCGGAGATGATAAGCTCAGGCAAGCAATCGCCATCCTTGCTTGGTCGCTTTCATCACCGCCAGTTTCCTTTGCACTTCCAATTCGTGTTGAAGTAGTCGCCTGTGGGCCCCAGGAGTGGTTCTCTTTTGCGAATGGGCGCGCCTGGAATACGGAATTATCAATTGGGTCGTGACTTCGCTGCCCCGTTTTCTTGGTTTTTTCTCGTGAATTTGGGAGTTGATACGAAGTATTTCCACTGCGATCAGTCAATGAGAATATTGGTCACACGGCGTCTTGGCGCCGACCATGTAAGATTATGGCCGATCCCTGGTCTGGTCAGGACTCAGAACATCTCCAAATTCTTAAATATTGAGGGAACTAATATCCCTTACACACAGATTTACTATTTGTACACACAATATCCATACACATGCACCAAGAATCCAAATGCATCCATCAGCATTCTTATGGCCTTCCCTGGATACAAGGGCAGAGAGTGGAGCTTAACTTCCTGAGTGAAATGGCAGTTCATCACTGTCGCTGCAGTTGATATCATATGTTTGAGTATGTGATTGTTGTGCGCTAACAATAGGGCTTTTAACACATTTTCTCTAGGAATTCCAAAATTGGGGTCCCCATATAGGGCATATCGCAATGCACTTCGGGTCTGGGCGTATGGGGGCTGATGGGCGCCAAATGTGGCATACTCAGCTATTTGCAAGATAGTACCACCTGCCGCAATATCTCGGGGTTGTATTATCTGTATGCAGATTCGATTTGCTAGTGAATATCCTTTTCCCTCATACCATTTTGGAGCAGCAATGACCTGTCCTTTCCACTGAGCCTCTTTTGAAGCTTGACTTGACTGGGTCAGTTGTAAGCCGGCTCTGACCATTTCTCGTTGCACAGAGATTACCACGGGTGCACCTGGTTCTAGAACAGGTGGGCTTTGTTCCAGACCTGCGTCGGAGCTTCCTTTGCGTGGGGTGGCATTGAGTAGAGCATAAAAGAACCAGTCAAAGCGTCCATCATATATCCCATGTACTGTTGATGCTGGTATGAGATCAAGGGTATAAACACGGTCAAACCTTCTCTGCAATGCTTCTTTTTGCACAGTTGCTTCTCGAAGTAGGCCAACAGTCTTAATGACCTCATATTCTCATTCACTAGTAAACCGAATGGGAGCTGTCGTATGCATACTTAGAATTTCAAGGTCAGTAGTGAAACCGGGAGGCTGGTTGACCCATCCCTTTTCGCGACGCGCATGGTGGGCTTTTATCTCATTATCATATCGGTGGGATCTCTGTGATTCGTTTAAACGATTTATGGACAGTGTCATACCGACAGTCATAAAGGGGATATGGTGCAACTGTGAGAATAGGCATTGCAGTCATGAATTTCCAGAATTTGAAAAAGTAGCCTGTTCTATTTGCCAGGACCTTGACCCTGGCACCTGGTTGGGCCAACTCACGAAAGACATCAAATGCTTCTTGTTGGGATTGCCTAAACACTTTTAGTGCACTCTCCAGGATCTTAAAACCAAAACAATAGGGAGGGCATTCTTGCGTCCAAGTAATGTATACGCTGTCAGCACCGACTTGACCATTGCATGCATTCGCTTGGGCTGCATTGAGTTTAGTTGGTGTCACCATCACTTTTTGAAGTCGAGAGGAGAAAGTGAAAGCAGCCCTTTCAGAGTCAAACTGGGTCTCACCCCAAGCAGTCCATATTGTGGTAAAATGAAAATTCTCCTTCTTGGGATCTGGATGTTTGAGGGTAAGCACCAATTGGAAACGTGGCATCTCGGCGCCTCCAGTAATTTGAAAGCTCAAGTCGGCATTTCGATCATACGGCAGCACTTAACGATCACGGTTGACATTGCCAGGCAGGCAGTTGTTACTCCACTACCGAAAAGGGTATTCGGGTCGAACTCAGAACCCCCCCAAACAAAAGCACTGTCACCTGGAGTTCAACCATGGAACCACTTCTGTGCTAAGTTTCCACCACTCTTAGTCAATGTTGCCTGAATGACTAGTCTGACACATGAATATGGGGTATAAAGACCTGGACTGCAGCAATACTTTCTTCATTTCAAGGACCCCCAGCGCCCACCCCTTTTCAAATAGAAGGCATGACGAGGCACCTTATTGCAGAATCCACCAACATCTCGGCCGATACAGAGGGGCGTCTGTTTGGCAACCAGGCGGGAATGTCGCTCTTAAAAGAAATCGAACAACTTCATCGCCGCATCGATCACCTCAAAAACGAAGTTCATCCGACTCTCTACTTAGCTCATTCGACAACTCTTGACGACTGGTCCAACCAGCAGGACCAGGGGCGCATTCTGAGGCAAGGTGTGGTTCATGGCGGCAATGTTCTTGTTGATGTCGCAGTTATCAGGCAGTACGGGCATAGCCCACGGACAGTTAAATGGACACAGGCCTTTTACCATCGTTACGGTGTTGCGTTTCGTTTCGCGGATCAAATCTTATCCGCCCCGTCTAAATTCGTGACTGCTCTCAACTGGCGCGCGTCTGTCCAAAGCTTATGGGTATGGGGTGAGCAGCAAAATCTGGCAAGGGCGTCTACGGTTATAGAGCAAGTTGATAAGTTAATTGAGATATGGAAGGCTGGGTCAGAGGTCTTATTTCATCCTACAACAGAGTCACAGCGTTTGTTTGATGCGACTGAGATAGAGTGGCAGGCGGTGTAACTACTAGAGAGAAGTTGAAATGCCTACCATAGAAATGAGAGCTGTGGAATCAAGTTCATATCTAATAATAGCAGTTCTTTGAATCCTGACTTTAATTGTAATTTCAAATCTTCAGTTGCTGAAGTTAGAGCTGCTCTGTTGGCCATGTTGTTGATTTTTGAACAAGTTGATCTCAAATTTGAAAAGTGTGCTCATTTGGTAGGGATGCATTTCTAGCTTCCGACTTGAGATATTGTAGGGTATCACATAAGCGGCATTTTCGTTGTAGTATGTTACCTGTACTCTGGCGGCTGCTCTTTGCCCTGTTCTCCATCGCAATGCTCAAACTCTTTACGCTAAGCTGTGGTTCAAGCAAAGGCAGCCCTGTGCCTTCTTTGCTAGGCGAAATTGAATGGGAGAACACCAACTATTCTTGAAAGCATTGGATAGAGAGCCAAAGGAAAAGTAGCCTTTCAGCTGCTGTTTAATGGAGATTGCCCGAGCCCCGGTGCTGTTATTTCTTCAGATGTGAAAAGAAGTGGAAAGAATAAAAAGAGACCGATATTTACATAGGATTGCTTAAAACACCAACAACCAATCTTTCAAATTCATTAAATCATGGTATGATAATGCCATATAAGGCATCTTCTTCGAGTTTGCTCCCTGGCTGTTTATCTATAGTACATCGTCGCGGGATTTGGATTTAATCACGCTGAGTTCGAAAGGCGGTTTGAGCAGTGGAGAACATGATCGGCCGTCGATGGGCTCTTGCCCATGCGCTGTACGAACCAGCGGGGCCCTCTGTTCTAATAACGCTTCCAATGGACATGAAGAATCTAAAGCACAGCGTTTAGCATCGAGGTACCGGATGCGGAAGACTTGAGGACTGCGTACCCAAAAGTTGCCGCTGAACCGGCCATATATTTACCAAGCGTCCGCATTACACCGTTCGGTCCGGCGCCATATTGGAATATCGAGACGGTGCCTATTATGATGTGAGTTGCGCAATCTCGCGGCCGCGTAGATCAAAGGGGAGAATAACCGATGATGAAGCCCATTATCAGACCAACGGCTAGTAAACGAAGAGCAGATCAGTATATGGATAATTAGCACATCGAGGGCTCGAAGGAACATACATCCACCCATCATGGCACCCATTTTAACTATATGAAACCGCCGTTAGCTAAGGCCGCATCCCATACAGTGAAGGGCCACAAACACTTGTCAAAGGTCGAAGGGCCGCGCATCCCTCCGCCTCCACTTGGAGCTGCTACAGCCGGCATATTGGATACTGAGTACAAGGTCCGTTCGTTGAACTGATCCGAATGGCTCTGTCGTGCTTCGCTCGGCTTCACTGCCATTCTTTCCATTCAAGCTTCAAGTCAAGGAGTGATGACTAAGCGCGTGCACTTTACCCTGTTAGGTCTTAGTGCAGCGCTCCGAGTGGGGTCCACATTGCAAGACATCATTGGCCAGCAGTAGACCACGTGACACCTATGTGTCAGCCGTCTCGCCCTATTCCGTTCTGGGCTGTTTTTTGGGGATCCTGGCTTTCTGTCTCGCTTCGTCCCGACGCTCCTGTTAGGGGATTCCTAGAGACCGTCTTCGCTGGCAGTTTATCGGGGACTGCTTGTTGCTCTTAGATGCCTTGTTATCGTCACTTCGCCCTTGTCGACATTCCACCCTGCTATTGCCTGCTTTTTGGCTGCATATCGTGGCTTCTTGCCAGCCCCCTCCATCTTGCAGAGCAGCACACGACTCATCGCTGACAAGACTGACGCGGTCTCCCATCTCCCATAATACCAGGGTCTGATAACTCTCAGTAATGTCAGTATTTGATGCCATCCCAATGCTTGATCCATTCAGTGCTTATTATCTGTCGACAATGTAATTTGCCTCTCGTCTTCACTGCATATCAGTTCAACTAACAGCAAGCTGCGATTGCGTATCAACAGATTGCACATTATTTGCTGCAAACCTCGTCCTGCCTCACTCGCATATGCCGCTTGACGACTTGGTTCGGTTTGCCAATCCTCCGGGCAAATAATTCTGGCAGGAGCAGACAACCGGCAAGCACAGCTCGACCCGAATCGCTCGCCTTGGTGTTGATCGCAAACTTCAGAGATTTTTCATCTTACTCATGACTGCTGTCGCTTCTCCTCCCAGTGTTCAATCTGGCCCACGCTTAGGATGGTACTCTACTAGTAATAGTGGCCAGGGCGGTTTTTCCTCTGCTGGTGCGGACGAGGTTTCACGGATGTTCATGCCTCGGAGAGGAGTCCAACGAACGAACTCTTCCTCATCTACTTCATCTTCTGCATCTTCTTCGTCTACCGTTACCGTACGACCGCAGTTTAGTAATGGTGGGCAGCACCCCACATCCGAACCGAATAACGCACATCCAGGGAAAAAGCCGTCGAGATACGTTTGGTCCGGTTCAAAGGCGGAACCTGTTTCTGGTGTAACGAATGCCCGTCCCCAGCCTGTGTCTGCACCGCCAACTGTATCTGCAGCGTCTACAGCAATGTCAGCCTTACATCAGCCTTCTCCCATCGTTCCGTCCCAGCATGGGCTTCCGCCTCCACAACAAAATGGCGTCCGCGGCGGGGGTAGACCAACCCCAAGCGAACCAACCGCACTTCTAAGTTTGATACCATTAAATGGCACTTTTGAAAGAAAACAGATCACTGTTCCTTACTTTCCAGAGTCACTACGCATAGGCCGGCAAACGAATCCTAAAACCGTTCCGTCGCCTGTGAATGGATACTTTGATTCGAAGGTTTTATCTAGACAGCACGCTGAGATATGGGCTGATAGGCAAGGGAAAATATGGATTCGCGACGTAAAATCCTCAAATGGGACCTTTGTCAATGGCCAGCGGCTGTCACCTGAAAATAAGGACTCTGAGCCTCATGAACTGCGAGAACACGATACCCTCGAACTCGGAATTGACATTGTCAGTGAAGATCAAAAGTCCATCGTCCACCACAAGGTTTCAGCGAAAGTGGAACACGCTGGAGTTTATGGACCGAGTATGAATGTGTTGGACTTGAATTTTGGCGATATTGATCCAACTTCTGGAGGCGGCCTTCTTCCCCACCATCTCAGTCAGCCGCTAACCCATATGCGAGGCCGACAAGGCAGTACGTCATCCGCTGGAAGCTCACGGACTACTCAAGGAGTGAATGGAAATCAGTTGAATGCTATGCACCAGCAGAGGCAGATAAATTACTGGTTGTCTCCGATATCTATTGAACAGGTGGTTAAAAAACTTACGGTAGGGCTACGTGGAACCGTTCCTGGGATGATCAGCTGACAATTTTATAGAGTGAAATGAAACAAGCAAGATATCATACGCAAGATCTGGCCAAGACAAATGATTTCGTGACGCATTTGGCGACGCGTGACACATCAGAAAAAGAACGTACAAAACCGTCTCCCATCGACGGTCCTTCATCAGGCCGCCAACTTAATGGCCGGCCAAAGGCACATAGAAATGATTCATTTTCCCGATTTTCCGACCCTCCCGCCCCTCCTCCGCAAGAACCTCTGCCAGAGAAGCCAGATGCGGCTTCCCGCTCCAATCATTCCCAAGCGATCTCACCGTTAAAGCGGACTGAAACGGAGAAACTGAGATCTCCTGCAAATTCTGTTCGCGAATCGAGCCAGATTTTGTCGTTAATAGAAGCACTTGCCATCGCGAAAAAGGAGTTAGATCTACAAAGCGCTCGAGTTAAAGAATTAGAAGAGTTACTCCGGCACGAGAGAGTAGCTCGGGAAACGGCTGAAGAACGTGCGCGAGAACTTGAAGTTGAATGTTCAGAGCCCGTCGTTGAAGTCATATCCGAACCCCAGCCAAGCCCAGATGAAAGTAACCTGTCTGTGACCAACGTTGTCGAGCCCCTTGATTCAAAGCAGGTGAAAGCACCGGAAGTGTTGGAGTCGCCCCTTGAATCCGCCGCGCCGGATTCCGTTGCTTCGGAATTGCAGATACGACTTGATTCATTGATAGCAGAAATGGATGAAATGCGCAAGGAAGTTGACCAGTACAAGAACTCGGCGGAACGGGCTGAAACAGAGGCTGCACAGAGCCGTAAATCACTTGCAGAAATGATTGAACAAGTTCGCCGTGAGCGGACTGAAATAGGTGCGATGAAACCAACGGGGGCGGAAGATACCTCTTCCGATGCCCCCTCCGCAGAAGGGCCATTATATACAGAAAACGACGAAGCAGCGAAAGTCCGCGAAGTCCTTGAGATGCGGTGCCGACCTCTATCACCCACCCGCATGCAGGAACTGGAACGAGCAGCCACTGCCTTTGCCAAACAACGACAGCGGCGAACTATATTTGAGCAATCAGCCCCTTATGCCTCGATGATTGGCGTTGTATTACTTGGAGTTGGGATAATGGCGTACCTGAACGGTTGGCAAAAAGGGGACAAATGATGCGGATCTTTCCCACCCTTTCTAGGAGTCTTATGGTTTACCGTCACGGCTTGTATAAAACAATGAAGGGCTTGCCGGTTTTTTTTTTTTTTTTTGAATGAGGATGAAATGATGGAATAACGCAGCGGTGTTACGCCTCTTCATTCCTTGAACATATACCTTTTTCTCCTTCTGCTCTCTTCTGTTTCTTTCTGAGTCGTCAGTTTTGGCCTTCTACAAGCGGGCTTGGGCGGTCATTTGGAATGAGCGATATTATTCTTAATCATTCTGTTTGCTGGTTGTATCCTCTAGCCCCCCTTCTTATGTGCTTTCCCTTGTTCTTTTGTCCCACTTGAATGAATGATCTTTACTGCACCCGGTGACGGTTATTTCTGGGGTAGCAGAAGATCACAATGATCCGTGCCTTCGTCGACTTTCTTTCTCTTTTCCTGATTCTCTATTCCCAGTGATTTTCCTAATTTTGGCCCTTTTGACCGGGCTTTATTCCAATCTATACCTTTCTCTTGCTAGCAGACACTTCGTGCTGTCCGTTTCGACAAACATAGCTATTTCCTTATAGTCCGATTTCACTTGGTCAGATAATTTGCATATGCAACTGATGTTTTCAGGAGTACGGCGTACTCATGGCGAAATTCGAGTACGCTTTATTCCCCTTTGCTTGCTGACGGTTATCATTCACGGCATTAGCATGTTTATTGCAATAGTAATTATCCATTTCTCTCAGCTCCTTGCGTTGCTTTATACACCCGACTGCGCTCAGCTAAAGAACATCGGTCGCCCGATTTGCAACAATGTTTTGCAATTCAAGTAGCAATCGAGAGAGCAGTTGCAAATCGCTCCGTAAATTTGCACAATGGGTCCAGTTAGCCGCCGCAAGCACGGCTCGTTGGAACGCCTTGAATAGTAATATTGTTTCAACGGCATGTATATTTCAAGGCAAATCTCGCTTGCTGAACGCCAAAGGGCAAGCCACACGGTTCTCGGTCCTTTAAGCGCCCAGAGTCTCCCCAGAGTCCACGACGGCCAGTCTTTGACACTGCGCAAGTGTTGGAACAATGTGCCGCACGGACTTTTCCCCCCTGTCGACAAGGGCATCACCGGCCCATCACCCCTCACTTTGGTGGCTTGGGCGTTGGGATCATCACGCCGCATCCACAAGCGCCGTCGAAGCAAAACGGCCCATGACCCCTCCATGAGGCTGATTCATGTGCCGTTTGCAACGACAGGCTTCCGTGAGTCTCAACGGTCCGGCGCTTACGGATTTCATGCGCTGCGGCGTGACTTTGTGTTGAATACGAGCGGGCGTCTGGGAGCAAGGTCCTCGCGCACTAGGAACTGCCTTGTGTCAGGGAGAGGTGTGTTTGGGCTCGATTGAGATGCTGATTTGCTATTTCACGGCGGGTACGATGAGCGAATTTTGGTGGGAGAGAGGGCTGGTTCCTTGACGAGGAACCGGGGCTGAATTCAGTGAGAATGGCGGCTATATAAAGCTGCCTCGCCGTGGCATGAACCGAATCGAATCGTCTTTTCTGATACCCCAATTGTGCTTGCCTTGACGACTTGCTATCGAGCAGAACATTGAAGCGACTCCTTGCCTTTTCGACATATGTTCAGTTTACTTGGGATATCTCCCTAGACGGACTCTGATCTACAACTGCTCTATTGCCTCTAGCACCCTCACAAGACGCCATAATTATCTTATCTAGTCATCCTACCTACCACCATGGCCACACTCGCCCAAAACACCGACCTCGAGACGCTCGTCAAAACCGACGTCCTCACCGCCATCGCCCCCAATCTCATTCAACCCTTCATCGCAAGCCGACCCTTCATTTTCGTCCCCGGCACCTTTAACCTGCGCGACATCGGCCAGCCCACCTGCACCCCACCCGTCCGCAGCAACTTCCTCTACCGCTCCGGCATGCTCTCCTCCATCACCGATGCCGGCGTGACCAAACTCGTCTTGGAGCTAGGTGTCAAGAAGATATTTGATCTCCGTTCTGCGAAAGAGTGCGAGGCGTTTCCCGCGCCGTACATAGCGGATGTGGAGATCCGCTGGCTGCCGCCGGCGCAGGAGCCGCGACCGGTGGTGTACAGTGAGTTTGGCGCCGAGGATGGCGGGTTGAAGGCGATGGTGGAGTTTTACAAGGATATCTTGGTGACGCATGTGCCTGTGTACAAGGAGGTGTTTGAGCACATTCGGGATGAGAGAGATAATCCCATTGTGTTTCATTGTGCTGGTAGGTCATATCAATTTGTATTTGTTGCTTGATGGTGCATTGTTGCTGACACACTCTTTTTCTTTTCAGGCGGGAAGGACCGAACTGGTGTTTTGACAGCGCTTATCCTAGGCATTGCGGGCTGTTCTCCAGACGTTATTGCGCGGGAATATGTGCTCACCCGTATTGGAGTGGAACCCGCCCGCTCGGTCATCATGGGGGAAATTCTCACAAGTGACATCGCATCTGACCCTGTGAAGAGAAGGGGGTTTGCGGGCCTGTGTAGTGTCAACTATGAAACGATGATCCAGTTTCTTGAGCATTTGGAGGGATGCTATGAGAACGGTGCTGAGGGATATGTCAAAAGTGTGCTGGGATTCTCTGATGATGATGTGGCGAAGATCAGAGAGAATTTGACTGCGTAGTAGAGGGCTGGGCTTTTGTGCTGCCCTAATATGTTACTGCACCCGCTTGCGCCGTCTCCAATATTGATAAACCTATGACCAGTGGGTATGAATCGATATATTGATATGATTTAGACGGACTGTAACTTCCTCAAACCCCAACAGGATCATGAACCGGGATAATAATAGTGAATTTAGAGGTAATTAGGCTGTGGCATCGACTAGTGGATGTGTGAGAATTCAGGAATGTGAACAGGGAGCTTTTCCCATTTCCATGAACCAGATCACTAGTTTGCTAAAAGGGATCGAGAATCAATCTCAAATGAGTGACTGGAAGGCTGAAACATTCGGCTTCAAAAAACCAAAAAGAAATAATGAATGAGAGAGTGCTTTATCGCAGATCAGATAGAAACTGGAAACTCTGCCAATCCTCCCGTACCAGACAGGCTCAATGTCTCAAAATGATTCATCACATCGTCAACACCGAGATCCTGGCCAAGCCTGCTAACAACACCCAAGTAGGAGTGCCATTTTGACATCTTCTCATCCATGTACGGCGGCAAGCCGACCAATGGATTTTTCGGATCGTACGTCTCAAGAAGTTTGAGCGCCTCTTCTCCTCCTGGTACAAGGTTCCGGTATTGTCCCAGCCAGGCGTGTACTCCGTGAACGGCACTCTCAAGAGCGCCCACCACCCATGCGTGATGGGGGCTGGCGGCTTCTCCGACAATAACAAAGTCACCGGAGGGCTGGATAACCTTATTCCACATGGAGCTGAACTGTTGGGGACGGAAGAATCCAAAGGCTCCAGTAGCGTTGGGCTCTTTGTACCAGTCGAATGCGTGGTGGTCCATGTAGTTGTCGCTGATAAGCTTGTAGACTTTCTCCTCGGTCATGTCCGGGTTCTTGTGAAGGCGAGCGAGGTCACGCAACAGGATTTCTTTGAGCACGGCTTCCTCCTTGACCTTTTGCTTGTGGTCTGGGTTGTTGGAGAATAGGCAGGCGATGCGTTCGGCGTCCTGCTGCCATGAGTAAGAGCAGAGTAACACGGCGGGTTTGTCTGGGGAATCATAGCAATTGTATGACGGGTAGACACAGGTGCGAATAGTCAGGTCAGAATGGCCAAGGCCACCAAGTTTGACGTTGTACTTGCCCAAATCGTGGATCCACCATGCACGTTTGAATTTGATTCCGACCTTGGCTGATGCACCGTACCCGAGAGAGCGAGCTGCTTGTTTAGTGGCGTAGTTAAGGCCCGCTTCACTGGTATCCATTCTCTTCAGGCAACCGAGTGGTGCGGAATTAAAAATGGCGGAGTACTGGGACTTTTTCGTTTTGGTGCCATGCTTGATGTCCACTTCCATCTGCAACATGCCCTTTTTTCTGACTGCGGTAACCGTGCGCTCATAATGAGGTTTATGTACGAGTTTGGCCTGCATTCGCTTCGCCAACTCTTGCGCACCGCCGAGAATACAGTACCAATTCGTAGTTGAATCAAAGTCGAAGTCCAACGATTCCAGCACCGTCTCACTATGTGCTTGGTCATACCAGTTGGTTCCACTAGAACGGGGCTTAGCATTGCGTGATAGGTACATGGATGTACGGTTGCCTACCCGTTAAATGTTTCCAACCACTCAATGGTATCGTAGTTGTAGGGCGGAGGTGGTATATCGCTAAACGGAAGGGGATGAGGTGGTTTCCTGCGGGTAAAATATTAAATCGCGTTGTCTAGCGATGCAAATGGTGTAAAGCTACTTACACGCCTAGAAACTGGCGGGTACTGTAGGTGTCGTATTTCATCAAGAGATCCCAACCCTCACGGCCAGGCGGTTTGGAAAGGGCATCCCTTTTGAGTGCGTCTCTTAAAGGCTTAATAGATGCTTTAACGACGTCATTGGGAGAGTGTTTGAAGATACTGCAAAGAGAAACTTTCAGGGATTGACTTGACACAGAAAGGGGCACGAAGGGACCCAAGTTACCTCTCAGGGATGGTTTTTGTTGTATTGATCTGGAATGGGTCGCCATCGTGCGACTGCGAGTGAATCTCGCTATAATTTCCCCATTGAGTGATATCGTTGTAATGCCACGGCTCAACCGGATTGGGCCCGCCGCATGTCATATAGTAAGGGATTAAGGACCCCACTGGGGGAGACTGCTTTGGGTCCTTCTTTTCCATGCCTAGAAGGTTGAAAAGCGCAAACACACTGGGTTATCGTCAGGGCAAAGGTAACCGGTACAGACTTATCGATGCAGTGCTTACCGTTCCATGACTGGGTTTTCAGGGAATCTCATTGCTCCGACGTCGTAATAGTCATGATTGCCGTGAGGTTCACCGCTGAAATAGTACGAGTAGAGCCTGCCTCCGACCCTGTCCTCCTTGGCAGCTTCGAGGATATCATACTTGAGCTCAAAGCCTCTCTTCTTGAAAACGGTCGCATTAAGATAGTCGAATATCAAGCCGGTAAAGAGACCTGAAGCGCCAGCACCGATGATTCCAACCCTGAGGAAAGTCACGAACTTAGAATCTGGTAGATCCGGGAGTGGCTTTGGTGGACGGGGGAGGACATGGTGTGCTCCGATATCGATGCTGAGATTGGGGGCGTGCTTTTCAAGCTCTTCCAAGATGCCTCGAACGGCATGCTGATGAGCCCACTGGTTTCGGATTGAGGTGCCTGAGTCCTGATTCAAAGACATGGTGAAATCTCAGAGATCAAATGCCGTAGAGATGTGAAGTAGTACGAGAGAGACTGAGCTTCCCAAACTGCAGAATGAGGATTCGGAGCCATTTAAGAATGAATGTCCCTCCTGGTCACCACCGGCTCAGACCTTCTGCCGCCGCGGAATCATGCGGGGAAGGCAGCATCCGGCGAAGAACGAGATGGTGTCTTCAGGCAGTCATGCAGAAAGCATGCCTCGGTGCGGGAAGGGCAAGGAGATCAAAGCCATAGTCCAGACGGCTCTATTTCAATCACGTCCAGCGAAGACTGTCGCTTCTACAAGCCTTCCATGGCCGGTGTGCCACACTCAAAGCGAACAAGCTCCAATTGAAACAGAGGGAGGAGCCGGCGACGGGGTGGATTTGGCAATTTAAGAAAACAGATGGAGAAGGTCGAGAAATCTGGCTCTCTTCAGGCAGCGCTGGGGGGATATATCGTGTCCTGACTGGCGACAGTGCTGGCGGGCTTGTCATCGTCAGCCAGCCTTCAAACCGTCGAGCCTGGAGGGGAAGACGTGATGAACAGCCGTGATTCGGTGGAATACCACCGGCGAGCATGGGCTGCTGTGGTTTGGGCTCTTGCACCCCCTCAGCATCGTCGTTTGGACCCCGGCTTGCAACCAGGCGTCGTGTCTGCTTGTGCTTGGAGCGTTATCAGTCCTGCTCTGAAAGCGACGGGCTGCATCCGCGGTGGTCTTGCTGGCGGCGTCGTTGGCCTGGGATCTGAGGTTGTGCCAGGGATGGCCCCTCAATTGGGACATCCTGACAGCCCAACCGCTGGCCAATGCGTCTTTGCCCGTCAAGCATCGGGATGGATATCTGGAATGGATCCGGCTTTCTTCATGATGCGAACACCTTCGACGCCATCGGTTTGGCCTGCCGCATCGACAGCGAGAAACAATTCCCTAAGATAGCGTGATTTTGAGTCCCGAAACGTGAGCCAGGTCAAGGGCCGCTGCGCAGAGGCCCGCAATGGACATCTTGCGCCTTGATATCCCTGCCCGTTGATGCAATGGCCGGCGAGCAGCCATAAACGAGGTCAGCAGCTCGATAGAGTCCTCTAGCTTTCAAACGTGCGCTGGTCTCTTGCTGTGGTGTCTCGCTTTCAGAAATAATGGGCGATTTTATATTACCCGCTGTATGCTCAGTCAACAGACCGTCCTTTGCGTCGAAATTAGGGAACGCCAGAAGGATCAACATCCTTGCGCTTCTTGGATAGATCAGGATAAATGAGGCTGCCGTGGAGCTCGAGTGATCAATCACACGCGGATACAAGCCGGCAAGATGCTGCTGCAGGAGCTTAAAGAGATTGCTGCAGTCGAGAGGAAGCACAATAATTGTAACTTTGCTGATAATAATAAGACTCGAAAGACGGCGATTGTTCGGATCTCACGAAAGCCATCCGAAATCTACTAAAAAAGCGAATTTCGTGCTATACGAACAGCTCCCCAGTCCTGCAAAGCTGATATCTGGACAAACTACGGACGAGTTTCGATTATTATCCCGCGCGGACACCGCATTGGCCTTTGCTCTCCCGGCTATTATGGCCTGCCATTATTATTAATATCAACTACTCTGCTCTCGTCACATCTTCCGACATTAAAAATCGATAGAGTTACACATGGCGGCCAGGGAGTTTCCTCTGCTCAGCCAACCATGGACCGTCCTCTCTCCAGGCACAATGCGCCACCGACGCACAGCGTCTTTGATATCCTCCAAGGACTGGGAATAAACGAGCGAGGATACCGCGGGCCATCCAAAATCATGCAGAGCCCGAGAAGCACGCCAAACGGCACTGGCGGTTTCACGAACCGCCAGGCTGCAGGATCCTCTATCAATAGCGCCAGCAATTGACTTCGCTGCGGTCGAGTTTAGGTTGTGCGAGTGTGGCGCCCTTGTGTGCCAATATCGACCGGTTTCCGTCTGAAAAGTTCTTCAGGAAATCAACCGCCAAGCGCTTCGGATCGCCTCAGCCGGTGTTTTGGCCAGGGTTGCTGCATGGACGGACGAGGATGAAGATATGATGTCTTTTTGCGTGCACGCCACGGATGTTGCATCCCAGGATGCTATTTATTAATCCCGCGATGTGAATGGCCGTTGAGACTCCTCAGCGGGCTCCATCTCGCGATCCACAAAGATAAAAATTGAGTCCGGTGACAGCAAAGTTCGTTCTGTCGAAGCTTCGTCGAATATTCGGAGCTTTTTCAGCTCGTCCAAATCATGCTTTCCGGTTCGCCTCAACTCTGCTTTTGTCTTTCTCCTGGCTGGATCTAGCGCTCAGGGTTTCCCTTCTACCGACTTGGATTGTTCTTTTTTGGCCCCGAAATCTTTATTTGCGGCACTTCTCCCTTGCGCCAAAAGATTCACGTGCGTCAAGGTATGGATGCATGTCTCGTCGAGCACATTCGTTTCTTGCTTAGCTCCTAAAGCGAGATAAATAAATACACCAGGGTCCTGCAGAGCCCAGACTGCTTCTCCTTTGCTTTGTTGATTCTCTCCTTTTGTTCCATAAAACGCCTAAACGCCATGCTCCCTCCTTCCAACGTCCTCGTTCTCGGCGGCGGCATTGCGGGCATTGCCGCTGCCCTCTCGCTATCCAAGGAGCTCGCTCCCCTAAATCCAGATTTGAAGATCACGATTTATGAACTGCGAGAGGTCCCGTCCACCTCAGGCGGCGCCATCAACCTGACTCCCGTCGCGCAAAGGCATCTCGCCCAGCTCGGTGTCATCGAAGAACTCGACAAGATGGGCCCCGACGCCGGGGCGGAAGTGGACAGCATAGAATACTATTCCATTCACACCGGGCGGGGGATGGGCCGCGTCGACTTTGCCGGCAAGAAAGGCCAGGGCTACGGGGGATACAAGGGAAAGCGGGTGATGCGGATCAGTCTCCATCTCGCCATGCTAGCGGCAGCCGAGAAAGTGGGCAATCTGACATTCGAATTCGGCAAGAAAGTGCTGGGAGGAATGGAGTCGGAGAAGGGCGTCACGATCTTCTTCGCGGACGGTACCAGTGCCACTGGCGATTTGGCAATCGGTTGCGACGGAGTGCATTCCAACACGCGAACAAAGATCGTGGACCCGGACAGGCCTTCGGAGTACACTGGCATATCGTTTATTCAGACCACGATCAAAACCGAGAATATCGAGTCTCCCATCCACTTCAAAGCCTCGGCAATGAATCGATCGAGGCGAGGCGCCTTGCTGACTACGTTCTGTGACATGGAGAAGACCGAAATCTTCATGGCCGGGCTGGTGCAGATTGACGCTTCAGTCCTATCAAACGACGCCTGGAGACAGGAAGGGACCAATAGTTTCAGGCCGAGGTGGACGCCCTTGAAAGCGCTGCGGGACGATATCCGTGAGCGGTTTGGGGAATCGGTGATACCATGCATTCGGGAATTTGTCGACAAGGCCGACGGGTGGTCGATATATCCTGTCTACCAGCTGGCCCCTGGAGGGAAATGGTTCACAGACCGGATAATCCTGATTGGCGATGCGGCCCACGCGGTATGTCGACTTCCAGTGATATACAAAGGCCATTTGAACTGACAGTCCACATCTAGATGCCACCCCGCGATGAATCCGCGGCCTATGCCCTGGACGATGCGATTCTGCTCGCGCGCGTTCTCGCGGTTTACTACGAGCAACCACTCCGCGACGCCTTCCAGACCTACGATACCATCCGCAGAAAAGTCATCAACGACGCCTACAGGGACTCCACCGCCGGATGGGCAAACAACAAAGACCACAGCAAGTGGGCTTCCAGGGTAGAGGAGTGGCTCGCGCCGTGGCAGCTTCGACGCCGAAAGCGAGCCAGAATCGGCGCATGGGTGTTTGACGCGCATGAGGTGGAAATTCCGCCGCCAAAGGACTGGAAGGAGGTTGAGCCATGGCCCTGAGGGGCGGTGGTGTTTCTGCTTGGTCTCGTTTTCATTGCTCGATACCTCTGCTTGCATTGAATGGCGTCTGTTTGGAGTTGGGGCTCAGCGCAGGGGTTGTATCCCCAGCCAGGGTTAGGTGGCGCACGTATATCTTGTAATGTATATCCATTATTTATATCATATTAATCGGGCTGACAGCTGGCACTTTGCAATGAAATCTCTTTCTTCTCTTGCGATATATATCCGGTTATCCCCCTTTGGATGAACCTGGATAGCTCGTCAAAGCAAAACACAAGGGGGCTGTCGTGTCACAATGGAGGATATCTCACGGTACATCTCTATCCATACCGCTGAGAGGCAGAGAGAGAGAGGCGTACTGGCACAGGACGATGGGCTGAGACTCGCAGATGCCCTCGTTCGCATCTCTGCCGCAGCCACCAGTGGCTTCCGCTATCACGCTGGGGACGCTGTGGTCCCTTCCTGCGACGACGGCAACACAGCGCTGCTTCAACCCAGCGGTTTCCAGGCGCGAGACGCACACCGGGCCCTTCCTGCAATGTTGGAGGCCGCGGTGTCTATTTATCTGCCGGATCTTCTGCGGCCTCGTTCTTCTCTCTTCTTCTCCATCAACGGATCACGGCATAGCATCTTCAAGTGTTCAGATACCTGTTACAGTTCATTGCTTCTTTTTGGGATATCCCTGTTCGAATTGCATTTCATCTTCCTCTTCGCTATTGAGCGTCTCCAATATGCACTCCTGGTGGGCCAAGCTGGGCTTTCCTCTGGTCCTGGCCAGGTTGACTGCGGCGTCATTCAACATCTATGCCACATACGACCATCACGCTATTGCAGCGGCACTTGGGGTCTCTTCCCAATGCCTAACAGCCTTGTATGTGCTTGTCTCCTTTGCTACTTGGTGGCTGTTGGGCACTGGGCACTGATACCAGAGCCTTTTAGGAATCAAACGGTCGAGTGTGACCAGACAAATGCTGCTCGAGCAGCCAGAGGCGTTGATAACGATTGTATTGCTCCATCAGCACCCCCCCTTTTCCCCTAGGAGGGCATTGCCGCTAACATTTTACTGGGAAGTTTGGTACAAGGAAAATCTCACAGCTCTCTGCACGGATCAGTGTGCAAACTCCTTGGCTTCGTGGCTTTCGGCGGTGGAATCGCATTGCTCGACGGATCAAGTGACCGCAAATGGAATCATTTTTGAGCCAAAGGCTTTCCCACTCAAGTACATTGCTGGTCATGATCTTGCATGCCTCAGGGACGTGTAGGTGGACACTTGTTTATAAAGCTAAGAAGCTTACAGCTAACATCCTCTAGTTCGGACACATTCTGTATCCTCGAGTCTCAAAAATGGGATGGAAGCGTGTATACCAAGTGAGTTTCCCCCATTTCGTTACTTTGGAGCGCTCCATATAACATAACCGCAGGTGGGATGTGGAAACATGTTATGACGATGATCCTCCATCCTTTTGCGGAGAACAGATATTCTCTGAAGAAGAGTCGATGACTGTCACGAATTTGTATCACAGAGAGCAGGTAAGATCTTGCTTCCCCAAACGAATCTATGGCAATCAATAACGGTGAAGATGTAGTATTGTAGCGAGTGCTTTCTCTTGCTATGGAGGCAACGTCTTCTGTCGCCTACTCTTCCCCCTGGGAATTTTACCGACTACTTAATCGATCAGTTCAAGGTCCTGGAAGAGACATGCTCAACTGACTTGCCCTTTGTAACGTCGGCTCCCACGCTCATCATTGGGACTTATCCGACAAAAGCAGCCAACGTCCAGCCGCGCGCTGCAGCCCATGCTCCCGTAGCTTCACCTACGCCCAGCGGTTTCCTCGTTAGAAAGTCCATTGCCCCCCGTCAAGGTCCATATTATAGTACAGGTAGGATGCACAGCTTGCTCACATATTAATCTGCTAACCGGAAAACGAAGCCATTCCACCTAAACCCACCCAGCCAGGCGCCATTGAGGCTTGCGGCGCCTACTACAGCGTGGTTCCGGGTGATACGGTGCGCTACCCTTGACATCTTTGCTTTTAGGATTCAAAGCTGATAATACGTTGTAGTGTCTGTCAATTGCGCAACGATTGTGAGTGGATTCCTTTTCCATGCCATGCAGTAATGCTGATTAGATATTGTTCAGAGGCATCGATTATAATGATATACTACGCTACAACACTGAAGTATGGATTCCACCTGTTGTTTACGGAACTTTGCTCATATCTGTCGCTGACATCTCTCCTTTTTAAGCTTGACCGTGACTGCACCAACCTTTGGTTGAACTATGCAATCTGTGTAGCACCGGTTGCATCTTCTACGACGACTACTGTACCGATTTCTGAAACTACGATAGACGGAACTAAAACTACCGGGACCCCTATTGTCACGAGCACTAACAGCATGTCTGGAACGCCCCGATTCAGCAACACCACCAGACTTCCTGAGCCAACCAAGATGCCCGACTCGCCGTCGATAATTAGCACTGACGGGAGGTGCAATGAGACCATCGGCTGCGTAGGTTCCGGCTTTGGTGATTGCTGTAGTACCAGTGGCTACTGTGGCTCTGGACCAATGTGGTGCGGTATGTAGCAAAGTCAGAATCCTTAATACGAAGGCTCTGCTGACGATACATTTTAGGCATCGGCAATTGTGTTTCTGGAGCCTGTAATTTCAGTCCCGGCCAGGTCACTACGGATGGGACTTGCGGGCCCCTTTTCCCGGGTGATAAAATATGTGTTGGCTCTAAGTTTGGTGACTGGTGGGTTGCAATATGAGACTCGGGCCTCCTTTGGTATAATTGCTAATTCTTTTGAAGCTGTTCCATTAGAGGGTATTGCGGCTCGTCAAAATCCTATTGCGCTCCAGAGAATTGTCACTCCGGAAACTGCGACGAAGCTGAAGGTCACGACGGCCAAGGCGACGAAAAAGACAAAGATAATAAAGATGACGAAAAAGGTAATGAGGATGAAAAGGATGATGATGATGACGAATTTGACGACTATAGAAAGGGTGCAAAAGACAAAATATTTGGAAGGCAAAGATGGAGAAGGGGCTAAATGTTTTATCGCACCATCAAGGAAATTCACTTCAGTGGAAGATGAA